CTTCAATCTGATTTTTGAATAGTGACCTTGAAAAGTAGGGTACAGTGTAATTTCCACTTTGACGATCACATTCCTTACACAATCGGTGCACGCAAGTTCTTTTAGCCGGTGGTTTTCATAAAATGTAGAGTGCAGCAAAATACCAACTTGGTAAGGATATTTTAGTCAATGACTATTTTTAATTAAATCATGCCTAATTACTTATTTTATTAATAACATAAATAAAAGAGAACTACAACCATGCTACATGTAATTGGTGGTTGACATGAAGTTTTACATTGTTCCACGTGTCGCAGCATAATTGGCCAGTTTGAAAATAAAAAACAATTTCCCACCCATTCACTTTTGAATTTGCAAAGACATGTCAACCATGATGTACAAAATCAATGTACAAATGGTTTAATCCAAGAGCACTAACAAACTTAGAATGGAGCACTTACCCTGCTCAAAAATGAGATGACTAAAAGTTAAACACACTTAATTCTTACGAATAAAAATAAAAGAAAAGAAGAAGATTATCTTCTTATTTCCATCGTCGTGGCCACACACTCTCGTTGTATCACCGAAACCTAAATACCGTTAACCCCCACTCCCAACCTAATATTACAGTGGATGTGGCGAAGAATAAAGATGAAAAGAAGAAGATTATCTTCTTATTTCCATCGTTGTGGCCACACGCTCTCGTTGCATCACCGAACCTAAATACCGTTAACCCCCACTCCCAATCCAATGATACAGTGGTTGTGGCGAAGAATAAAGATGACAATATTTTTCTTCTTCTTTTTTTTTTCATTACTTCATTTTCGTTGTTTTATTAGTCTTTTGAAAAAAATGAAGGTTCGTGACTAGAGTACCACTGGAAAAATGTACACTTGAATTTGAACTAAAATTTGAACGAAAACCATTCAAAAGGATTAATGCGTACCAAATATGTAAGCTTGGGGATGTGATTGCCAAAAAATTAAGAATGCAGACCCAAGTGCTATTAGGGTCTGTTTGATTCACTCCATTTTCCAAGGAAGTAAGAATTTATTTTCCATTTTCCAATTTTTGACTTGTTTGATTGGCTTTTTTTTCCCTAGAATTTCCTTTCTTGCTTTTGCTCACACGCTCACAAATGCATTGATTTTGTGGAAAATGAATTCCCACCATTTTGGTGGGAATTGTCTTTCCAGGTTCTGCCGTCCTTTCTTTTCTTTTCTTTTTTTTTTTTTGCAAATTGAAAAAAAATCTAAACACAATGGCAAAAAAAATTCACACTTTTATTGACAATTTACATGCAAAACAAAGCCAAACGAATGGTATTCGGTATGGTTAATTTTTTTTTTTTTTTGGCAATTGGAACAAATTCTAGATCGATTGGTAGAAAAAATTATCACATTAATGAATAATTTTCATAAAAAACGAAGCCAAACGGATATCAAACTTTCAATATTTTTCAGGTGAAAAATTATACCAATCAAACACAATTAATTACAATTCCCAATAAAACAATTTTTAGACAATTCAATTCTCTGTAAAACATTTTCTTTCCACCTATTTTCCACATTTGCAATCAAACGGACCCTTAGAGTGAATGCTGGGGACCTTATGTGGAATTTCCCAAAATATTTGAGAACCCGAATTTTCTTACATTTAATTAAAAGTATAGAAAAGAAAATATAGTTATGCCACATGTACAAAGTTGGGTTACAAAATTGGTTGATAAAATAACATCTACACCAATCATTTTAAAAACAGATTTTTAAATCATTTGAAATCAACTGTCTGGATTTTGCCCACATTGTGTGTGTGAAAAAAATATATACGGAACATTTCAATTTCAATAGATTCACAATATGTGGTAAAGAATCTTGGAAACTCGAAAGACATGTAAATTGTAAATGCTTCATAGTTTGTAAAGTTGATCTTAAGAGGTAAAAGAGTATGGGAAACGATAGTGCAGGGGCCTTCGTTCATCATACAACCACACTTTTAAAATTTTCCTTTTTCTCAATTCCAGTACTGCAGAAGAGAAGATGCATAAAGAGGATTATGCATACTTGTAGATGAGCCCTTTTTCCTTGAAAACAAATCTCCCACAAGAGGAATTATTGGTTTCACTTTTTTTATCATAACTTTTCCTTCCCTTTTCCTCCCTCTAAATAATTTTTCCCTCTCCCCGGCAGCAATCAGAAATTGAGCTAAACTTTGTGAAGTTTTAACTGATCTTGATGAAGCTACTGCTGCGGTAGCAGCCTTGGCTGCCATGGCCGCCTCGGCCTTCGCTAGCTTTGACATGTTCTTGTGCAGCTCAGCATTCAATGAAGCGAATGCTACCTCAGTTTCGATCTCTCTTTCTTTGAGTAAATTCAGTTCTGTTTTTGTCTTCTCGAGCTCGAATTCGAGCTTTTTTACAGTGTCGACAAGGGAACTTTCATTGCTGTAAATGATATATCTGGGACTAGGCGAGGATTTCAATGAGCGTTCTTGGAGATTTTGCGGGGTTGGTGAAAAATATGGGGTTTCTTGTTTTGGAAAAGTGAAGGAGTTTGGTGTATAGATTTCTCCGGGTAAGAACTTCTCGCCGAAAATGGCAACGGCCTCTTTCACCGAGCGAAAAGGGCGTGAATTGTCGACTTTGGAATAGAAATCCATGGCCGCCACAGGCTTCTCATGGTGGTCGAGATCAGTCTTGGGTGGTTCTATATTGTGACAAAAAGGGAGAATGGGTTGAAATGTGGGATGATAGGTCTGGTTCAGAAGAGTTTTCTTTGCTTTCAAGTCAAAATTTCATAAGAGTGTGTGAGAGGTGGTATATATACATTTATATGTATGTATATGTTTGTTGGTGAATGAGATAGTGCGGTTTGAAGCTTAAGCCACATGAGATTTCAAGGTTGTATTGAGGTAGACAATTGAACTACCAGTTAACCTACGACTGAATCAAGCATAAGTCCTATAGTTATGGTTGGAAATTTGTATAGAAAATTGATTTTGACAATTTTTTACATGATTAGTGGAAATCATTAGTTGGTGAATGAGAAATTAAAGTCAAATTTAAGTCGTTTAAATTTGCAAAATTGTTAAAAACAAATTATGTAGAATATTATTGAATTATATGAATGAAAAGTTACATGATTTTGGAAATGATAATTTGCAAAAGTCACATTCTTTTGTTGTAGATATGTATTTTTCAAAAATACATGTAGTTTCATTAAGTTGTGTCACTATATATTGACCCATATGTTTGGAATTTTCAATCATCAATTCATTCATTCACTTCATGATTTCATTATCATATTAATGCATCTTCAAAATAATTTATGCATTTTCTTTTGAGTTAAATATGATATAAAGACAATTCAAGACTTCAATAAATTCAATGGTTAATTTGAAGTACTCTTATTACGGGACATGATCGTTGCATCTTGGGAAACGACAAATGTTGAAAAAACCGTTAGCACCTATGAGGGGCATTAGCGTCTTAAGGCGTTAGATAAGCACCGTAGCTTAAATTTTATTTTACTATTTATCAAATAAAGTCATTTTTAACTTTTGTATAGATAACATCTTCAAAAACTTGAAATTAAAATCAAATGATTTTTTTTAAATAAAAAAATTAATAAATTAAAGTTAATAAAAGAATTTAAAAAAAATAAAAAATATTTAGAAAAACTAATAAAGCACACCTAAAGAAGACGAACAAGATGCAAGAAAAACTTCAATCATTTAAGAATTGATAAAAAAAGAGCCTACACGTGAAGCGAGACTTTTTGCTCAAGTTTCGAACATAGGCGATGCCTGGGGTAGGCTAAACGAACTTTTAGAACATTGATCAAAAGCCAATAGTTATATGTGCAATGTGACAATGTAGCATCTATTTTTGAGGGTTTTGTTTTATCTCATTAGTCATTAATTATAATGAAATTCATAATTCTTAATTTGGAAGTTGGGTCAGACAGGCTCAACCAAATGGCCAAGGAACAGAGGAGGAATATAAAAGATTTTTACAATGTTTACTCTCATATAACTGAAATTAGTTCCGTCGTCACAAAAGCTATCGGCAAGTGTTGATTTGGCTAACGACAAACTTACATAGCGTGACAATGAATATCATTAATTATTGTTCATAAAAATACTTTAGAATTGGGCAATTAACGTCCAGAGTTATGCCACACAAGCATTCAATCACCCAAATAAGCATCACAATTAATTAATTAGACTCGAAAATTGATTAAGTGACTAAAGAATAAGTTTTATAAAATTTAAATACTGAAATTTTCAAGTAAAGACCATCTACGAATATGTCAATGAATTCTGAGACCTACCAAATCTGAAACGCAACCCCATTAACATAAAATGTACAACCATGTCTAAAGATTTTCAACTTTTGATTTTTCAAAAATATTATGAAAAGAAAAACCATGTCTAGACTTGTAAACAGATTGCATTGGGAAGATACTAAATTCATTAGGATAATTCGCAAATACCATTAAAAAGTTAATAATTTCATACTTGTTATAATTTTTATTCTAAGAATAATATTTTTTAATTTTAATTATTTTATAATAAATGTTGTAATACAATGTGTTACACTCTGTAAATTATGTAACATAATGTGTTACATTTGTAAAGTAGTGTTAAACAGATTTTACCACCCCATATTTCCAACACCGCTTGTAACATTTAGCGGCCCACATCTTTTAATATTTATTGTTTTACTGCAGTTAATAACATCACTTGTAACATTTATTTCATACCATCATCACCACCAACCAACACCATTTACCACCACCACCGTCACCATTCACCACCAAACACTTCACTCACTACCACTACCACCATTCGACAACACCATTCACCACTATTTACTAGTACCACCGCCACTATTATTCACCATTCACCATTACCACACAAACCAACAACCAATAAAAACCACTAAAAAACCAGTCACACCCAACCGCTGCTCCTTATTCCTCATGCAAAGCATCACACATACTACAATAGTTGGCACCACATCTTCACACATCAACCACAACCACGCTCAAAATCGAGCCTTCCATAACCACCGCCACCTACTTCTCACTCAATCGTAGAAAACCACAATCAAAAGGAGGATATTGAGAATTTGACTCCATTGCATTGATTTTGGAAAAATCGAACTCATATTTTTTTAAAAAAGGATGCACATTTTCAAATTAATTCATGAAAGTAGGTTTCAAATTTAGGATTTGATTGGTAGTGAGTAACGACAATGGGGTGGAATTTGATAAAAATAATCATTATCTTATTTTGATAAGAAAACACTCTTAGTTCAGTTCGGTAAAATTTGAGTCTCCACTTGAACTTGTAAGTTCAAATCCTGCCGTGCATGATTTTTTTTCTTTGTAAATTGAATTAGATTAAAAAAATTCATTCATTTGCATAGAAATAAAAATTTAAGTTGAAGTCATCAACTAATTTTAATTATGTATTTAGTGAGACTCACAATTTTTATCACTTTTTCAGTCATGCAATTCATTAGCTTTTATCAGGATCCATAAAAAAATTGATTATTAACAAAATCAAATAGGGCTGAAGGTGCATAATTGGGGAAGAGGATATATGATTTGAAAGAGAGAGAGACGATATAGAAATGGAGAATCCGTTTTGCTAGAGAAACTGTTATTGTTTCATCTAGGTAATTATGATTTATATTAAGTGGAAATTACATCCACACAAGTTTTTAACATTTTAAAAATTCAAAAATCAAGTTTAAGTTTATTTATACAAAAATCAAGTAATAATTTAATATTAATAATAATGTTATAAATTAATATATATACTCACACCCTACCCTTATTCATCCCATTCGAATCCTAAATAATTTTCTCTCTTCTTCCTCTCTTTATCTCCCATCTCTCTCCACACTCTTCCTCACACATGGATTGTCGCCGTCGCCGAAGAGCGCCACCGCGAAGACCGTCTCTCTCTACCCTCTTCGCTAAGCCCCAAAGCACAACGAGCCGACGAAGACTACCGTACAACAACTCTCTTTGCTGTAAGCGCAGCTGCACAACGTCTGTGACACCCTTCCCTTAATTTTATCCTTATCATTTATTTATTTATATCATACTAGGATTTAATAATTTGTTTTTAACACAAGTAAACATTTCAAGTAAAATCAAAACATATCAAGAAAATCAAAATAATAATGTAAAGAGTTAAAAGAACCGCCAAATTTATATTATACCAAAAGATAACTTGTTTTACAAAATATATCTGATAACGAGTTAGCTATGTTACAATCAAAAATTTTTAGTCAAAAGAAATGCCTGCTAATTTTCAAAAAGTTTTCCTTAGATCTAATCTATAGCGGTTGATGTGGCGGTATATCAACGTCAAATAAGTCATTCCATTTTCACTACTTTCTTTCACTATGTACCATCACCCTATTTTTCATGGTATCACCTTACTGTCTATTCCACGTATCTCATATCATTTTCATAACAACATGTAATCAAGTCATAGATTTCAACCATCATCATCACAAAATCTTTATATTTTTCAAAAGTTTCAATCGATTCATCATCGTTAATAATTGTATAAAAGCGAGTATAATGGGACGATTATAAATTACACGTATAGCTGTCAAGTCCTCAGTAATCTAGGCATGTCGATTGTTCAGATGATTTTAGTTTCTCACGTTGCCATCTACAATACAAAATATAAAACGTGAACAATAAAGTTCAGTAAATATAATGATGCAAAGATGTATATCAAGCATACTTGGGCCTGAATCCTTATTATAGTGTACTACACAAGCTCAAAATAACATGGCTATTACTTGCGAGCAAACTAATGTCAGTACATCTATCATTGCCCACCGAGACTCAAGATGTCACATCAGTATATGACATATATAAATTAAAGGCCTGCCCTAATCGCACAACGCTCCATGTGCCTATTCGAAGTCCTAAGGCTATAAAGGGACCTCCTAACATTGCCTATATATAGGTGCCGAACTTTAAATACCCTATCATTGGCTACCTTTAACGACCGTTAGGAGCCTCAAGTGGTATATTTGTCCGGATACAATAGTACGGTACATCTATAATGTGATTCACATTCAAAATTTTCAACCATAATGACAATAAAAATATGCATGGCATTGAATTGTAATTCCATTTGTTTTCCAAGTAAACTTAATGCTCACATGTCACGTATAAACACATAATTTCGCATTTTAATTTATCTTGTACTATAGTTGAAAAATATCAATATTTACCTTTTTCACAACTTTCTTGATCAATATCTGCATTAATAAGTCTTTGTTTATTTTTCATTATTTTCAAAATACAATTTTCTTCCTTTTATTTTGAACCACACATTTTTTAATAAAATAATATTACACATCAACCCGAAATTTTTTCTTATTTTTTAATCACACATCTCCATCAAAATATTATTCCAAAATATATTTTTGAGAAAAAAAATAGGGCTCAAACATGCTCTAAAATAATCTCTACATTAATCATAACATAACATAACATGTTATTCCCAATTAACAAACCTAAACTAAGCCTATAAGATAATATAATTTACAAAATAAAATACCCCGAGTAATAAAAATAATGACGACGATGATGATATTCTCTTTATTGTTATAAAAAAAA